TACAAACATAAGGGAAAAAGTCTTTGAGCGCTTATCATTCCCTTCTGAGGGATGCGCCCCGTATTTGATTTCTATTCAGAACCGTAGAGGTGTATTGAATGCCTATATGCCTTGCAATTAATTTTAATGGTCAGCCAATGTACAAGTTAGTGCATTCCTCTTTCAAGCGAGTCTGGTGCCAATTGATCGACCATGGAAGGATGGAAGGCTTGGTTGGCCCAGGCGGATAATGATCCGAGATTTGAACCCGTGAACCCGTGCAATGCGTGGGTGGTTGTGGTGCGCCACCGGCCACAACACTACCTCCACCCATATGTATATAATTACATATACTTGTTGACTTCTAGATGAGGAGGACCATATGATATGGGTGGCCCCCGTGATTTGTGAACTGCCCAAAGAGACAAATGGTGGGTGCCCTTCATCGCCCGGGACTTTTCCCATATCCGTTCCGCGTCAGCCTCACTGTCGCGTCTGATGTATTCTGTAGAATCACTGAGGCTATAGCTAAGGTCCAAAAAACCTTTTCATTGCAACTTTTCACTACATTAGGTTGAAATCGAAGCGGAATCCCTTCCCACGTGGTAATCTTCCTTTGATGTACTTTTGAAAAGCATATGCCGAACTCACTACAAAGTACGTTTTAATTATGCAGACGATGACGTTAGTAGCGCTGGAATACATATGTAAGATTAATTTTTGAATTTCTTATGCCATGGCTCCATGCTTATTATTTTCTTCCTAATTTACAACTACTGAGGGGAAAGGAACTGCGATGAAATTTTGACAGGATCTGCGTCTACGCACTCTCTCCAGCTGTTCTTAAACTTTCGTCATTAGCTGTCGATGATAGATATATAGACGTTGGCAAACATGTGGTCAATAGGGTTGTCACTCTCAAAAATCTCTCATCATTCCATTGGGTTTAGTGATTTTGCTTTCGTCAACAATTGACAACAGTTTTTGCTTTCGACTCATCTACTCCCGCTTACTAGTAATAACTACTTCAAACACTACCAGTCCTGTTGCGTATTGTTGCACTTTCTTCCCCCATGACGATTTTTTATGGGTAAGCTCCGCAAGAGTTAGCCTGCTTCCTCAGTTTTCATCGGCTGGGAGTCCTCATAGTCAATGGAGCTACCTGAGACCCTCCAAGGAGTTTTAAAAAATTGCGAACCAGTTTATGGGTAGCCTAAGCAGTTTTCAATACATGTAATATTTACTACCAATGTACAAAACTGCAAATAAGTACGAGTGATCTATCGTCCAGTAACAAAGTGTACATCGATGCAGCAATGAGGCGGAAAAATTCGCCAATTCAATGGTGTAACCTGTTTCAAAACCAATTTATCCGACATCTGACAACGCCAACGGATAATCGCGCTGCCCACCCATGTGAATACAACATATGTACTTGCTAGTAATGTATCGTATTACAGTTTACATCGATGAACCTTTTCATATAAGACACTTGATTTCTTGCGAACAAGGCTTTTCTTTTGATTCGTTTCTATTTTGACTGCTTCATTTTGAATGTCAGGTGATGTCCTAACGTTCAAATAATTCGGATCGAATTCCCTTTTGAACCCAAAAGTTCGCCGAAATCCCGGGTCATTTCGATTGATCTGCTTTTTGACTTTTCGAATGCAAACAGTACTCAAGTTTCAAAGTTTCCCGATCACGGTAACTTCTATTTGATTGCTAGCTGTTTTTAAAAGAGCAAAGCCCTGTAAGAAGGTTGCATCCTTATTTACATGTGAGTTTATTTATCACAACAACTCCCGCATTGTTTTTTGCTGTCTAAAACCGATCAATAAAGAAGTAAACGCCCATACACCCTTGGTTATGACAGGTTTTCAATCGAAAGGATGTTGAAGGGGCCATCATTGTTCTTGATCCTCAAGAGAGGGGTTAACGAGTAGAGCAGATGGTCGTTCATTGGAACTGGTTTGTAACTATAAGAATGAAACCAAATTGTTAAAGCAAACACAATTAGTTTGTGATGGGTCTTACTTCCATCGGCGGGCAAGTGCTCCATGGAGTAGGTCAGCTAAGGGAACAACTCCCGCCGCGAATCTTCAAAGTTGTAATCAGTAAATTTTTGCTTAAACATTATTGTTTCTTGTCTAGTAGTGGCGAGTCAGGCTTTAGTGGACTCTTTGAACACAAATGAATGGAGAACCACATTTGGATAGATATCGTGTGCTGAGGTTCGCTCTTGATCGTTCTGGGTGAGGTCCTGCTTCACAGCCCGCTCTGGCTCCTGAAGGCTTCTACTCAATTTGACATATGCAGAGCTTTCATTTCTTATCGCCACACTGACTTTGCCTGAATCTTGAGGCTAGGGCTTCTTCCTACAGCCAAATTTTAGCTCCGTTAAGTAAGAATCCATCGTCAGTTCGTGCAGATTATTGCATAGTTTACTGATTACTTTGTGTTTTCATTCTTGTACAGGTAATTTCCTATATAGCTTGATGGATGGCGTAGTTAGGGTGAAAAAAAGTTTGCCGAGCTCTCCTACTCTTACTTGTGGCTTTGATAACCACTCGAATCGAACATTTGGTTGCTCTGGTCTATATCTTCGTGATGTTATTCTGATTCTGAAATGTACTTCATAAAATATGTGACTTCTGGGAACAATTACTTGTCCTCAGTGCTTCTATCCTTTTTCTTTGTTAACAGATATTGCATAAAACCAATAATATTGATTGATCTTTGAGCTGCATCAACCGGGCGGCAGTATCATTCAACCGACGAGACAACGATTGTGATAATCTCTTGAGATGAGACCAGTCTTGATCTTTGTGATCCCATACATACTTACCAATAGATCTGAGGAGTTTGTAGTGATACAGAGGTATCCTCAGTACAGCGTAGTTGGCCCACCCTTAACTGACTTCTGCGACCCTAAGCCAATACGTGACTTTGAGTTCATCTTCAAGCATCAGCTATCTGTTGGAGAGATTTACGTGAACGAGATCTCTCGTTTTTATTGAGCACTCAACTTTATTTTCATATTCTAATTTGAATGGCCCTGAGCTTACCTAACATACTGACTTAGAATTATCTAGGATTTTTCTCTTTGTATGTTTATCCTTACGGTAGTCAATAGAACGTAGTTGTTACCGTCGTGAGGAGCTTGACTCTCTGGCGTCTGCGTAAACAAAGCTTCAACAATCCAGCGTTGTTGTTGTTGAACAATCCAAGCAAAATGAGCGTTTAAGTTGTGCCCATGAAAAAGCGATTCATAGAACCTGAATTCTTTCCATTTTTGCGTGGTGGGTATTAGTTGGAAGCTCCGTTCCAGTTTATTAAGGGATTGTGCAAAGAACCGAAAGAGCAAAAAATTGGGATCGGCTTTCACAGCTCGGATTTCTCCTGTACCTATTCAGGATGGTCATGTATTAGGTTTTATATAGGCTTTGTGATTCACCGTATGAACCTGCCCCTTATTCTAAGGACCCCGAGATGCCTGCACAGCGCTGGCATCAGCTGTGTCTAATAGTATTTTTGTTGGACGCATAGTAGTAAGTTAGCAGCACGCTGGGAAGTGTTCATTTTGACATTATAAAGGCAGATGCATCTTTTCAAATTCGTAACGGTTTCGCCCTTTGAGAAGGTTCCTCATAGCATGAAGCTCGAAAATACTCCTGTTATCAAATTTTTTTTCTTTCCCCCGATTTTTGAGGTGTTTTTCTACCTCTTTGTAATTCGCCTTTCGGAGAAAAAAACCTAAGCATGTGTCATCCATTTTTAGTACCGGATTGACGGGATTGTGTCAGTTGTAGCGAACAAATTTTCATTTCAATTTGATATAACAATGTTCGGGAGACTGTCAAATTTCACCTACTCACCCAACCTTTCATAACAAGACAAAAAAACTGATTCAAAGTGGTTTCTCGCATGGAAGAGTCATCAACGAACTTTTCACTTCATTTTTTTCTAAAACTAGATTTTCAACATTGTATATAACACACGATGGAAACCAGAATTAGTTTTGCGATTCTTGAACATCATTCTGCCCTGAGTCATACCATCGCATTGCCACCATGACTTCCAACGTCTCAACGTTCGAGAGAATTCCGCCAAAGGTTTTAGAAATGCGTTTTCTTCAGTTTGGGGAAAAATTCACCTATAGGGCCTTTTAGGGCTTTCCAAAAATCTCGCCCTTTGATCTGTACTGATCGAAGGTCTCGTATGATCAATCTCTTCCTGCCATGAATTGTATACGGATTGAGTACTGTCTGACTTTTGTAGAATCATGTACTCGAACAACATTTTAGGTTAAATCAACGCCGTTAACTACTTGTGATATATTATGATCTCATGAGCTACCAACCTGTACAGTGGTTCACTCTTCATATTCTGTCCACTTCGCTAGGACACTTCTTCCAAAAAGCCGGTTTTCCAACTTACATATCTTCAGAGTTCTGTCTCATCTTCCAGAAACCTGATGCCAGAAGGTTCTAGATGCATGGCTGATAGCATTTTCTTTCTGTGACGCTGATTTTCGAAAAGAATATAAATTACTAGTTTCTACTTGCAACGTCACTTTTGCTAGAAATTTCTTCGTGATATGCGACTAGATATTTTTTGAAAACATCTTGCTGAGATGTTGATTGCCACAGTGTGTACGTTGTCAACTCCTTGACTGGTAGAAGTAATACTATTAGGGTAGTCGATAAGCTGAAATCGACAGGATTCATTTCATCAGTTGTTGTTGATTTAATGTATCGTTAGTACTATGTTCGGGCCCTCATTATAAACAGTTCGTAGGCATTGCCTGTTTCAGATAGCCAGCCACCGTAAGCCTAACGTCTCGTCAGGAATTCCTTGCCAAGCAGGGACGTGTGCTGGAACATTAACGTTTCATAGAAATGTGTCTCCGAAATCAACGATATGGATAAACCTGTGAGCTTCTTTTGTAAAAGAACTGGAATGGTTACCATTCCACTGCAGTTTGAGTAACTATAGGTTTTAAATGAAATGTCTTTTTATAGAACACCTCTGATGCTACTCGCCACTCGCGTAAATTCGTCCGACTTCTCATAGCTGCGTTCTTCTCAGTGACAATTATACTAATCATTGTTTCCATTGCCTTACTTTTAACACAAGAACGTAGGTATCATCTTACTTGTTAACCATCTCAGAATGATTAAAATCATTCATTACAGCAGTGAATCTTAGCGAAGATGAATCGCAGCTGCCGTTATCCTCCGATGACAACAGTAACCGATCTGCCTCCCGACTGTCATTTCGGCGTCGCCGTCCTGAATACCGTAAATTCACTTTCGATGATCTTTTCTCTGGAAAGGTCTTCCTCAAGGACACCTACACGACTGCTTGGACACGTGATGGAGGTCTTATTCGAACAAAAGACGAGTACTCCGAAGTAAGAAAATGCTCCTTCCCATGAGAATGCGAAATAATCTTGTTAAGGGCAGCGTGAAACTTGAAATTCTCAAGTTTATAGCAATGTTAAAGCGATGGTGATCTTCGAGATACCAATTTGTTCTAGCTACTCATGAAGGATTCGTGATGGGCCCAAAGTTACCAACAACGTTTTAATTCAGACTCCTTCGGTAGCAACTATCATCCAGCCAGACACTTTCGAGGCTGTACCGTATCTGTCGGATTCTTCTTTTATGAACACGATGTCGTCAAATAATAAATACGCCTATACGTCAGAAACACTCAAACCTGTAAGTTACCTATCCAGTTTGGTTAGAAACAATAATTTCAGAAAAATGGAAAACTGGGATGGGAGTTAAATCGAGCGTTCAATTAACCATTGATTTGTTTCCAATCTAAATTCAAAGGATGGCATGTTGCAGTCATAAAACCAGTCAGAAATTTGGATTTCAGTCGAGAAGTTAGTAAAAATGTAGTTTAGGAGGTAGAGGCACTGTATTTGAATGCGCTCGCTCCTTTGAACTTTGATTAAAAAGAAAACAATGGATAGTTGAATGTTCGACTCATTCCATGGTTTTATCTGAAGTAATACGACACCCTCTCCAGTGCTCCTCCCTCCGTAAGCATAGGCAAAAAGGCATGGGCATTCCCAGACAAGGAAAGGTTTTAATCATATTCATGGACTTGTCATACCTGCCTTCTCCTTTTCTACGCTCCAGCGTTTAACTCCAGATAGGAAGATCACGTGGAGGGCCCCTCCTCCCTAACTAATTTTCATAGAAAAATGAGTAGGAGGATTGCTTTTGAAACTACTCCAGTCTTTTGAAAACTATACAAGTGATGATTAGTAATGTCTATGAAAGCCTAGTTCGTCTCTTGAACAGTTGAACATATTATTTTTTAGATATTCCGTTATTCTAATGAGGCGCTTTATCAGATCGTCCGACTAAAAAATGGTACACGATCAGGGTACGTTAGGTTTTGATTTCGATAGTGTAGGGAAGAAGAACTCAATTTTCACACTGCATGGCCCTTTTATTGTTGATTTTCCTACAATACCTCCGTATACCTTAAAGTTTCTCTCTTCATGTCGTTTTGGTTTGAAATACATCCAAGAAAATTGAGACCTGAGAAGTTTTTGACCGATCATCTTTTTTAGGGAGTCGTTTGCCGTCGGTCCAACCGGAGATAATACAGAGACGGTTCTTGTTTTCAAATGGAATCCGAATCGGAATAAGAACGACTTTGTCAGTAGCAAAAAAACGTATTCCGCTCAGAATTTGAATAGACAGTGTAATTTTTGAAGGTATTTGTACACGACTACAATCTCTACTATCAAGCGGATCCAGAAAAACCAGGAAGTGCTCAGCAGCTTACGAAGGATGGCCATTACCTATTGCGTTACGGTGTAGCGGATTGGTTATATGAAGGTGAATGTTCAAGTTCAATGAAGTTTGTCTTAATTTGAGCCACGTTGTGGGGATAGAACCGAAAAATTACGCCAAGTCGACTTTGACGCCGAACCTAATGACGGGCCTGCAGCGGTGTCTCCCAACTCGATTGTGATTGGCTGTTTTCCTCCAAATAGTTTCTTTCGCCAATCAGAAATTTCAGTAATTGTAACAATAAACTTGTGCTAATACCCAATATTTCAGAAGAGATCCTCTCGTCAGCAGAAGCAATATGGTGGTCTGATTCAGGGAACTATATTTCGTATTTGAGGTAATACATTTTACATCAAGTGCTAACAATAAGAGCCGATACAGTCAGGTCCAATTAGGAAGGATCAAAAGTCCACAACACAAATTTTTTTCAGGTTTGATGATCGTTCTGTTAACCGAATTTATATACCGAAATATTTGAGAGGCTCGCAGTATCCACAGTAAGTCGTTTGTTTCACTGAGGACCAGCTTATTCAGTTGCATTATTTTCAAGATACATGGAAATACCGTATCCGAAAGCAGGTGTTGAGGAGAATCCGCAGACTGTTCTTTATATATGGCCAATAAAGAGTGGAAAAGCTGTGGTTGCTGAACCTCCTGTACAGTTGAACGGAATGAACCAGTACGTTGATTGTTGCTTATTTCTAAGGCACAGTATCCTGCAGAGTGGTGGAATGGGCGGAGTGTTCTGGCATAGACACTGGAGCCAATGAGAGATTAGCGCTGCACGCTGAATAAGTAGTCACTAGTAGCTCAGCTAGCGGAGTTTCTAAGCACACCTCTGTCCTTTATATTTAATGTTCAGGTCATACTACGTCTTCTCAAATCGATGGATTACGATACCGAAAGGTTTGCAGAATGAACTCGGTGAAGAACGACTGGTAACAGTTTGGTCGAACCGTGAACAGAACCTTCTCTACATCACGCTATGCAATGAGTTTGACTGCTCTTTGGTGGGTCCCATTAGAACTTATTGGTAGGGATCTCTCGAAATTCTCATTTGCAGACCTTCACGCAATCATTCACAATTAATGGGCGAAGTTTATCGGCCGAGCCTACGGACTTCAAGTCAATACTAGCCTCAGAATTCGGATTCTTTGTGATTCTCCCCCATGCATACAGCGATGAAAATATTTATAATCATATCGCACATATCAGTATTATGGTAAGTCGTGGGCCTTATTGGGGTCATAGGTTAAAAAAGGCACTTCGTCTACATCAGTAGATCAGTTTTTCGCAAAAAACTTGTAGCTTCTTTTAAGAAAAACGGTAGTGGACGGATTACGGCTTGGCACGGTGGCGCCTACGATGTGAAAGAGATGAAAGCTTACGACATAAACACCGACACCCTTACCTTCACCTCATCTGGTCAAGGCATCGGCACAATGCGACTCTATAGATTGGCCCGAGCTACCTCAGCAAATCAGGTACTAGATCGGATCTTATACTTTTTTTTTCGCTATCCTTATCATAGTCCCTCAAATTTCAGTCCGTCCCTCATGGCGCAATTGCGCGACGTTTGGAATGACCACCCCGTCATTCCATTGTTAACCTTATTTGAATCCACTTTGAACAATTGAATGAACTGATGCTGTTACTGCGTTGATACTTTGACTAATCCACATTTACCGCCTTCTGAGCTTCTTCGCTAGAAAAAAANAAAAAAAGTTAGGAAGCTGGATATCAGATGGTCGAATTTGCGAAGTTGTAAGTCAACGCAGCGAGAAAACAGCCCGAAACAGAAATTCCAAGTTTTGATACTGAATAGTGGTACTAACATATGAAAAAGGGGGATTACGAAGACATTTGTAGCAGTATTCGGAGTTCCTTTAATTCCTCATTCATCATGAAGCTCCTATGAAAAAAACAGAATCATTTTTTCTATATAGTCATCAATAATCGTGCTGTCTTCATTGGTCCCCGACTGCGATTACGGTTCGTACGATGTATCACCAAATGGTAAACGAGCTGTTCTCGGTTGCCTACAGCCATTCAAGAATACTAAATTGTACCTCATGAATGTAGACACGCCTAGTAAAAGTGAGCGATTTGATCTGAACCTCTAACTTTTCTGAGTTAATCACATCTAATGGTACCCAGTTCAGACAAGCTGCTAGATGGTGCCGAAGAAGCACATATCCCATTCGACCTTCCTGAACTTTCCTATGAAGCCGTCACGCTACCATCGGGTTATGGTAAGTACCAGGGCTTCTTTGAATGTTTTCTAGGTAGGCTCTACCGTGTCATGTTGATGAATTCTTTTCTGGGGTGTGCCATGCACTCAACCTCCCCTCAGGATCCCTGAGATATTTGAATAACCTCCAATTATTCACTGGTAGTAGCGGGGCTATCGCAGCTCGCTCAAATCCATTAAAATTTGTTTTTAATTTCAGAAGTGCACATTGGCTTGATGAAACCACCGAAATTCGATCCGTCGCTAAAATACCCAATGCTTGTTGATGTGTCAGTTTTATTTCTGATTTAGCTTCCAATTAAACATGTAATAGATAAAAATTTTTTAAAATCTTGAAAACCATTGCGAAGGATTCATGTTTAGAGCCAACATTTCGGATGTTATAGTTTTTGATCATAACCAGCTCACTCATTACCGAAAGTTCAGTTATGGTGGTCCAAACAGCTGCCGAATTCGTCGATCCACGCCAAATCCCAACATGATCCACTTCTGTTCGAGCCTAGAGGTTATCGTGGCTTGGATTGATGGCCGTGGATCTTCCAATCGAGGTAATTAAACTTGTACGAACAAACCAGAAAATGGCAAGTACATCTATCCTCATTAATGACAATTGGAGCCCGATTTTCAGGCTGGACCATGAAAGCTCCCGTTTACAAAGCACTCGGCCAGTTTGAAACAATCGATACGATCGACGCCGTAAAGTAGGTGATTTATGGCGCTGAATAAACTTAAATCTTTGGAAAAGCCTCCGAAATTCCAGATATTTAACTTCGAAATATACGTTCATCGACAGCAAACGAGTAGCGGTTTTTGGTTGGGTGAGTGGAAACCATTTACAGTAGAAAGTCTTTCATTGTCACAACATTTGTACCAAACTGTTCTAAGTGCTAATTTTCGTTGCGCTTTGATAGTAATTATAACAATGTAAAAGATTAAAGCTCAGCAAAATCTTCAACCTTCTTCGAATGCGCCCTATATTCGACTTCCGTTTGTTGTGGTGCTTGCAAATACGCCCACGCAGTAACATGCAGGGCTGGCTGGGCTGTAGATTAGAGTTTTGATTCACGACGGATATCCCTGGACCTACTGACCGACCTTAGAGAAGTAGATGACCTGGTAGGTCAGGGTGATGTCTGATCTGGAAATCAATACATGAGCATTGTGCGCTGCTAGTACCACTCATTAGGTCCCATTGACTGGTCGCAGAACATTGCGGTTTGGCAAAGCTCCAAAAAATTCTAGTGCTCCTATCAAACTGCTTTTTCTTCCAGAGCCTTCTCTTAATATTCTTAGAGATACCAGCCTTAAACCAGACCTATTTCAGTCCTATGGAGGTTTTCTCAGCACTCATGTCGCTATACGTGATCAGGGTAACACGTTTCAATGTGCAATTGCTGTAGCTCCAGTGGTTGATTTCATGCTTTATGGTGAGCTTCCTATCTTCAGTGTTCGAGCCGTCGATTCAAACAGTAGTAGCTGTAGCAAGAGCCCGCTTGAGCTCCTCTCTGTTGGTGGCTTATACGCAATAGGCAAACAGGGTGATCCTTGCGAACTCCGCAAGCTTTTATACCACGTCATTGAAAATAATTTACACTTCCCTGACAGTTCATTTGCTGATGTTGTTTCAGATAGCGCCTATACAGAGCGTTACTTGGGCATACCGCTTGAGAATCCAGGAGGATATAATGTATGTCTTGCAATAACTGTGTATAAGATTTTACTATTGTATGTAGGGAATATTCGATTACAATTCATGTCACCAAATATTTAAAGGCCAGTCAACTATTAAACAAGGCCAGCCGACTGAAAGACGTTAAATATTTGTTGGCTCACGGAGAGGCTGACGGTTAGGATTTCATAATGTTTTCACTGATTGAATTTTTATTTTGCTTGAAAGCTTGTTTCCAGATAATGTTCACTTCCAACATAGTGCGCTTCTGGCGGAAGCTCTACAAGCCGAACTTGTTCATTTCACACAATTAGTAAGTAACTTTCATGTGACCTGCACGTACACACCAACGAGTATAGCTATGATAACTGGTATTTACCTCTCATGCAGCCACTCCTAAAAATGTTGTATACTGAGTTCGGCTGATAGTGTGCGGTTCGGGAGACGGGCAGTAGGAATGGTTATGGGTAATCGATCCGCCGCATGCGGCTGTCGCTAACCATTCATTCGCTGTTATTACAGCTCTACCGTTCTCCATACAGCTCAACCGATATGCGATTATTTTGTTTATGGCATGATTCTACTGTTAGTTCTTTGTTTACTGAATTTCTTACTTGCTGCTGCATTCTGCTACATTCCTTCGCGGGCGGCGTCTCTCTCGCCGCGACGCGACAATTTCGTTCCTACTGCACCACACCCAGCTCAGAATATTATTGTGGGATATGAACCGCAGAACAAACTGTGAGATTGTTTCTTGGAATTAGGGTCTAGATGGTCGATGGTCCAATGTCAAAAAAAGTACCATTAAACCCTTTGCTAAACACTTCATTCAAAAGGAATACTAGCTTTTTTTGAATAGTTATGGGTAGTAAATCGAGACGCTTTCAGGTATACCCGAATCAGGACCACAGCATGGGCCCACGACAAGCCCATCTCTTCAAAGAAATCGGTCGTTTCCTCGATAAGGAATGCTTTAGCACCGACGACGGACCCTAAACAGTCTCACACACGCTTCATTGTACGGGATTTAGTTTCATCTTTAGCATAACTCATTCTTCTCCATACTTTTCCTGCTCCCTACATTTCCTTCGGTTCGACACTTCATTTCTAAATACATATCTTTTGCTCTACTTGGAGTCTATTTGCTCGAAAAGTCGAATTGAGTGCAATTGACGCGTTCATGGATAGAGAGCACATGGCGCATGCAAAGGGTTCCTTTGATTGGTGCTCACTGGTCAGCCACCAATCACAGATCGGCAACATTCAGAATTGGGCAGGACACTATTTAGGCATATGTGTTTTGTAGTGAATACGAACGAGTACCTAGTTCACTACTTTACTGATATCATTTCCGCCATAATGCTTTGTATATGGGCTTTAATCCGTCAAGGGATTCTCAAATTGAGATTTTTTCTGTCATCTCTTCTTTTGACTTCTATGCCAAATACTTTAATAAATATACTGTAACCATTATTGGTATTTCTGACTGTGTTACCAGTCCGATACTACTTCTCTTTGAAGCGAGTCGACAAGAGAATGATAAATTTCTATCCGGAGAAGAACTTAGTAGGGAGGCTTCGAATAAAGAGCCTAATGCGCTAAAATAGTGTAATGTTGCATGTGTTACCGTATCAGCTGTGAATTTGGCCTGGTTTTCGAGTTAATCCTGAGAACTGTTGGATATAACCTCAGTACCACTGAATCAAATCTTGCTTGTTCCCTCAGCAACTTCGAGCCAGTCCTGTATCTACTAAGAAGAGGGCGAGTTATCCTGTTAAAGGTCAGGAAAAGTCAGCTCATCGTAATTAACGCGGACTATAAATGTTCTAAATAGAGAACAAAAATCTCTAACTGCTAGGAAACGAAGAGGTGGTGAAAGTTGTGCCGAGAACAGATTACTTTGTTTGTTTGTGGGCTGATGGCTGTGATAGGCATGACATAGAAGTTGATGAGAACATATACACCGTTTGGTAAGGAACGCAAGTCTACGTGCTCGAATAGGGATCTATACGTCGGCTAAGTGCCGCTCTCGGAAATATCAAGCATCATTGGGAATGGGAAGAAACGGGAGTGAAAGTCGACGGTCGCTAGTTACATCATTGAAAACGACATCTCGCTTGTATCACCGAACACCGAACAGGCTCTATAAACTCTGAACCCAGCTCCGGAGCTGAGCAGAAGGAAATTCGCACTATGTGTAGCATTCAAGAACATCGAGAGAGTAATGAAGAAGACAAAGAACATATGGCTCCGCGTTCACCCCCTTGACATTGCGGTCCTTCCTGCTTTGACTTAAGCCTCGGGGCTTGTGGTCTATGAAAGCAGGATAAGCATGGCGTTAGTACCATTCAACGCGCTGTGGGTAGGGCGTTGCTCGGAATTTTCCTATAAGCGTAGATGCAGAAAGGCATGTGGAATTCCGAGCTCCGTCACGAGGATCAGGGTGCCCTTGACACTAAGAAATTCAAGATCAGGAGGGCCGGACACGCTATGCGATGTTGTGATGACCGTTGGACCACAGGGGTTACTGACTGGATCCCGTCGTCAAACGGACACCACGACGGCCTTCAATGCTCAAACTTTTCCACGGAAGCTCTGAACGAAAGGATTGCTCTGCCTTGTGTCCCTGAGAGTGGACGATCCAATCTACCCTGCTTAACCACACGGACGAAAAGAGACCTTACTGCATTCTGTTTGAAAAAATTTATGTTTAACGGGACAACAAGTGACACAGACGATTTCGGCTCGACCAGAATTTGACTTAAACTGATTGTACATGAATTAATGTGTAGAGTTGCGCTTAGCGAGCCACAATTGGGCAACCTCTATCCGCAAAACCATTCCGTTGAAGGATTATAACTCTTAGAAAAAGGGCTGCTACAAATTGGAGCTTCTCTTCCTTACTCTTTTCGAAAATCAAATTCCTTCAGGTTAAATGTTGCCCTCGGCCCACCCCCTCGATTCTTTGTTTTCGTTCCTTGACAAATTGCCAGCTGTTCTGCGACGATGAGTCAGGCAGTCGTTGAAAACACTCACATGAATATTTAATAGACGTACCAACTTAACACTGATGACGTCAACGGCAGAAGCGTATGTCAAATGCCCTTTGACTTCCGCTTGACCTCAAACAGCTGTGCCGGAAGTTATCATTCTCAGAACCACACCCTGGAAGAATGTTTACAATTGATCCTATAAATGTTTATAATCAGGTATACGATTTCGCAGAAAAATTATGATTGTATCATTCTATCCAGTTATTTCTTCTGCATCTAAAAATCAATGAATGATGGTGTAGTAGTGGATATTGTAATCGATTTCTTAGGTTGCGACACACATTGGTCCATTAGCAGGAATGACAAAATGCTTTGAATGCCCATTTCGTGATGACATTCATAGTAAAAGCCATCCTCAAATCAGTATTTTATCCATTTGAGGGAAGCTGGAGAGAGTGATAAAAGTTGACGACAAGGTACCCGTTATATCATCACGCTGGTTTTGACAGATTTGAACCATAGCAACCTTTATTCTCATTTCGCTTTCATTTCTTGCTCTGTTTACAGGTTACAAGAAAGTTACTACTGAAGGTACTTAGTGTTTCATGCCTATTACTTCGACCGAACAAAAATTATAATTGCTAACCTCAATCAAATCTGACCCACCACATTGCCTGTTGATCAATGAGTAGCGGCCTAGCCTGCCTCCCTTTCCCGCCTGCCAACTAGTCGCATCACTCTCTCCGAATATCTTGATAATACTTCCGAGCGAGTTTTCATAACATTTTATCGTCATGTGCAGCTCACAAGGATTCTTCGTGTTTTTACATCACTCAATCTCTGCTCCATCAGCAACCCATTAAATTCTTACGAAGGCCTCGATAAGAAATGGCACGTTCGTGTTTTTCTTTTACCTTTGACTGCTATGCAGATTCAAAAAAATGAGGATCTCAAAATTCATTTTTAATGACTCTTTATCCATAATGTTCATCGATTGAATTACGAATCCCTCGGGACTCGATTACAGGCCCTCATGAAATTGCTTGTGTCATCTGATTCGGAACTTTTATTTTTAGTAAATTTTCAATGGAAAAATGTACATGCTGTGGATACGATCTCCGTGCTAACAACAGCTTAGTCGTTGGAAAGGCTTATCCGAATGAGCGATGATCCATCTTTTGCTTTCCCCCTTGACAACAGATCGCGATGTAATCAAATATATTTGTTTATGAAACGGGTGGCTAAAAGAGGCTTATGAGTCACTTTCAAAATGAAAATTTAAACTCCGGTGTATGCACAGGCTAAAGCCAAAGCGGTGGTATTCAAAACAAAATTACCGACGATTGTACTCCCACAGAAATGCTCCTAAGACATTTCAGGTTTATTAAAAACTTCTACCTCGACGAGATGCAACCCTTCATCATTATTAGTTTGTATACTTCACTGAATTAAGGTTTTTTTCCAATCACTGGCCGAAATTCGGGATTCGCAGGAAAGGAAATATCTGTTGATTGATTATTGTTTGATTATGGTGTAGTGGGCCATAATGGGTTTGTACCTAAATTCACAGTTCACTCTTGCATAAACCTTTGGCTGAAAAATGAATAGAAAACTGTTTACATGTGTTATGCAAAAATTGTGGCCCTCATATGACAGAAAGTTTGAGAACTCTAATTAATATATTCATTACTGTGCTGGAATCAGTTTGATACAGTTGTTTGTAGTGAACACTGGCACATCAACACCTTCCCTCTTGGCCCATGCTGTCTTCCCTACTCTTCCACTACTCACTTTCAATCTTTTTCGCTATTTTTTTAACTTCCTGCGATTTCAGACGCTTCTCCAACGTAGCTGAGATATCATCTAAACAGAAGTGATTTCTGATGTCCTCCAGCAGTCCCATCTGTGATCCCCTATCAGCTTTGACATTTCAATCGAGTACTATTGTCCTTGAAGGCTCGTATGTAGTGGCTGGCACTCACTGCCACAGAGCTGCCTAGTCACGAAATGTTCAGGTTACGTTCAAAGAGATTCACTGCCCTTCTTACTTTAAACAACCATTCCGGATTTTTTGGTGTACCGTTTGCCATCTGAAGGAACTGTTTTGGAAACTTCTGTAGACTCTGTCTAATTTCTTTCTGCCTTCCATAGTTTTCGTTGGAGTGAAAGTCTGACTTTTCGGAGAGTGCTCCGCCCAGAAATTTGCTTTCACCGAGTCTGATTTCATGTAGATTTTACGAAACCATGCCTAATACTTCCCCAACATCGTTTGTTAGCTGATGGGTTTATTTATTTATTTATTTAGCTATTGTTGAAGGAATATACAATGGTAGACTCAGATTAAAATCAGAATCACAAAGGAGAATTGTTATATTCTAAGTTGTTTTTAAGAGAGGCACATTGAAAAGAACGGTATGGGGTCCATCATTATATCGCTGCTAACCGAAAACTGCTCAAACAGCTTTTAAAATGGCTTGAAAATTTGGTTTCGAAATTCAAGGGCTGGTACTATGAAAGCTTGAGCTCATCCACATTCCGTAGTGTAATCTTTTTTATTACCTTGCAGACTGTCTTTAAAAAAGTGAATTTATGCACAGTTTCTATCGTGCAGGTCCCATTTATAAGTCAAGGGTTGATCTGGTTAATCCTTGGCTATAAAATGTATTGTATAGTTACTTTCTTCCGAAATCAAATCACGAACTTACTTGATTTTCCAAGCCAGTTTAAACTCGTGATTGGATCCGACTAAGAATGTAGGGTCTCTCTATGTAAGGGCACTTAACTTTGTAAGCATAACTATTGAATAAGGATATAACTTGAAAGTGTCGCCAGGGTTTCTTTTGAAATGCTTGGTATCGCACAAGGTTCGTATTTTATTTAGTCAGTTAATCAAGTGACTTCCTCGAAGTATCCAGTAAACGGATAATAAATAATTATTTTCGCATAAATATATAAATTTTATTTGGTTCGTGCCGTCGAAAAGTTCACTCTACCCTCGAAACT